CAGGTCGATTACCTGGTACGGGAAGACAGAGCATTGCTTTCTACTTAAGAAAGCAAACAACAACAGGGGATTGCCCTAGACGCTGTTTTAAGGAAGATGAACTACTTGAGCTACATACATTATTTTTTTAATTGCAAAATTGTATTTAATGCTATTTTCTTCATTTTTTCCTCAGCCTAGCTGTGAACCTGTTCTCCATCTCCATCCTAAATCCCCTTATCCTGACTGATCACTGCCGTGTAGTTATGGCTTGGGCCACACCAGCTTTATATTTAGTCTTGTCACCAACATGTCTGCTTCCAGCACATGAGCAAACTCATTTCACTGTGCAGCTAAAGATAGTTTTGCTCTTTGCCCTGGACCTTGCAGGCACATACTGATGTAATAAAATATGGCTGGCACATACCTCAGCTTCTGCTGACTGAAAACGACCGTTACCAGCTTCCTAGGTCTCGTTAGGATTTGTTATTAAAACATAAACGACAAATCTGCAATGTCAAATAACACTGGTTGTCACTGGCAAACAATATTTCAGACAGTAGTCACCATTTATATCTTCTATTGCAATCTATTATCCAGAAATTAAAATTCAGGGAGTAAAATATCTTTCTTAAACCAGTACAAGTTTTACACTAACTTCGATGCAGAAAATTTAATCTCAACTGCAATTTCCAGGTCACCCACTTCCGGAAGGTCCAAAACAACTGGGGCACTTTGCACAGCAGTTCCCACTTGTGGGCAGATGAGGTATATGTAAACTGTGGTTGTTACATCTCGATGGTGATTTCTACAGGTCTGGAGTCTGGAAGCTGCTCAAGCACAGCATCCCTTCCAGTGTGGGGCTGAGTCTATTCTGTGCCCGCAAGAAATACATCTGTAAAGTACAATTAAAAACAAGAAGCTTACCTCCTGGTAAATGAAAGGTTTCGTTCCTGCAGAAAACCACGTAGTATTCAGATCTTTCAGCCTGTCTAAAATTGCCTTCACATCCCCAGGCCACATGTGCTTGGCAGCATCAATTCGGAATCCTGCTACTCCGATGTCAATGAGGTAGTTCATGTACTCGGCCACCTTTGAGCGTACGTAGTCCTTCTCCAGGGCCAGATCAAGCAGGCTGACCAAGCGGCAGTCTCGGACCTAGGCAAAACGTCTGAAATTAAACACCCTTCACCTAACAAACAAAGTGGCGTGTTCTCCGTACCTTTCGCACTTTGTTGGCCGCATTACCATAGCAAATAAAGCCTTCACTAGCCATCGTTCACCAGGCACAGCTTTGCCTTGGGCAGCTGTCTGCACAGAGGGGCGTTGTGATTTCTGCTTTCCCCCAGCTCACACGGCTGTAGGTGCTGAAGGATTCTAACGGAGTCAAACCATCAAATCTACAATCAGCTTTTTACTGCAAGTACAGGGCAAAACCATGGTAAATTCCTTTTACCCCAGTGTATGAAGGAACAGATTCATTACTCTTTCAAGTACAGCCATTTCTTCTCTGATGTAGGAAAGATTTCTAGAAATTACATTTCCAAATATGACTCAAGCTTTTTAAAAGAAACTTGTTTTCTGTCCCCTTTCTGCCTTTGTTTCCTGTAAATACACAACAACGGGCATCAATTTTCATCTGAAGTATACTTTAAATTTATACTGAATA